TAGAGAGGTGGAGGCAGAGAAGTGGAGACAGAGAGGTGGAGGCAGAGAGGTGGAGGCAGATGGGTGGAGACAGAGGTTGAGAGGTTGAGACAGAAGGGTGGAGGCAGGAGGGTGGAGGCAACATGTAAAGTTTATTCCATTTATTTGGTTCTGGTTCTGCTCAGTCCGGTGGTTGTGTGCCTCGGCGACTCCCCCTGGTGGCTGCGGCTTGCATCGTACCATAGATGACGTCCTGCTGCTTGATGACGTCTTTGTGTTGCGTCTGCAGGAACTTGGAGTCCACCGCCATGCTCCAGCTGTCGGCCTGGACGCAGCCGCCCTCCGCCTGCAGCTCCTCCAGCAGGGGGCTCCACCACCACTCGCCTGTTACAACACAGCCTGTCGTTATCAGACGCAGCACTCCCCGCTGCCGCTAGCGGCCCGTCTGTAAGCTCAACGCACCGTCGTCGGTCAGGGACTCCATGGACAGAGTTCTGTTGCGGAAGTTCAGCGACTCGGTGGACTGGGACAGAATCCTACGGAGACCGACGGACTCCTCTGTCCCCCTGGGACACAGAGAGACAGAGCAGCTGAAACTGTAGCTCAGGACTCTGAACCCGTCTCTGGACTCAGCAGCGGTGCAAATGATCACACCTGCAGGTCCAATCAATCACTTGCTAGCTTTTAACCACAGCGTTAGGAACAGAAAAGGAAGTGGAGGCGCTACCTGTTAGCAGTTGGGCGTGTTTCCCAGCAGCCAATCAGATCTTGGTTTTTACTCACCCGGCAATGTTATTGGTGGAGACGCTCTTGGCGAGCGTGAGGCCGGACCGAACCCGCCTGGATCCCAGCAGAGACTGTCGCAGAGTGTCTGAGGGGTAGATAGCTGAGCTCGGACGCTCCTTCATCATCGGAGCTGAGGATGAGCACAGAGGAAGAGGATGTAGGGTGGGCAGAGACAGACAGGTGGAGGCAGACAGATGGACTCACTTTTGGTCCGCAGAGCGACGTTCTGTAGAGCCGAATTGTTTCTGACTAACGTCAGCTTCTGTTGCTGTGGGACAAAGACAGACAGACAGACAGACAGGTGGTCAGACACAGGTGGTCAGATAGACGGGTGTTCTGGTAGACAGGTGTTACCCTCTGCTTCATCTTGGCACAGCTCGCCACGCTGTCCCTGCAGCGGTTGTGGATGGTGACGTTGCATCCTGGGAAAGAAGAGTCTGCTCAGTATCTGCTCTCTGATTGGCTTTGCAGGAATCACAGTAGTGATGACATAGGCTGGTCAGGTTCACCTGTGCAACACTGTAGCCAGGTGAGACATTGCTGCCACATAGACCTGGTCCATTTCCCTACTTGGAGTTCCGAGACCTGGACCCGCCTCCTCATACCAGAGAGCATTCAGTGTTTTTTTTTTCATATATTGTATTTTCCAGTTTATATGTGGATTTTTCTTCAACCACCAGGGGGCTCTTGAGCAGATGTGAAACTAACTTTCCCTCAATGGAATATATACCAGTCAGTCCCAGTCACCGTTTCACTCACGGTTTTTTCTATTTGCATTCTGGGTAAAAATCTATCTAAAAGCGCGAATGTGTCGTCGCGCCCCCATTCCCCCCCCCCCCCCCCCCCCCCCCCCCATCCTTTACTTTCTTTTTCTCTTAATCAAACAANAGAGAGGAGGGGGAGGTTGGGAGGGGACAAGATAGGTGGAGACAGAGAGGTGGAGGCAGATGGGTGGAGACAGAGAGGTGGAGACAGAGAGGTGGAGACAGAGAGGTGGAGACAGAGAGGTGGAGACAGAGGTGGAGAGGTTGAGACAGAGAGGTGGAGGCAGATGGGTGGAGACAGATGGGTGGAGGCAGACGGGTGGAGACAGACAGGTGGAGACAGAGAGGTGGAGGCAGAGAAGTGGAGACAGAGAGGTGGAGGCAGATGGGGAGACAGAGGTGGAGGCAGAGAGGTGGAGGCAGATGGGTGGAGACAGATGGGTGGAGACAGAGAGGTGGAGGCAGATGGTGGAGACAAGATGGGTGGAGACAGAGAGGTGGAGGCAGAGAGGTGGAGGCAGAGAGGTGGAGACAGATGGGTGGAGGCAGAGAGGTGGAGGCAGATGGGTGGAGACAAGATGGGTGGAGACAGAGAGGTGGAGGCAGATGGGTGGCAATACCCTGGGTCAGACCAAGGCCCTGATCAATGAGTTTACAAACTGCTGGTTTCAGAATCCCT